AAAAAAAAAAAAAAAAGAAAAGAAAAGAAAAGAAAGAAAGACAAACACCAGAAACAGTTGGAAACTGCGGTTTGTGGGAGAAAGGGATGCCCAGCTGACTAGGAAGCTATTTGAGCAGGGCTCAATAGCTTCAGTACAAAAGCCAGTGGAGAAATAAAAATAAAACACAGAATCCAGTCTGTGCCCTAAGCTACTCCCAGTCTGATTGAAAGAAGTGATGTAGGTGCATTTGTTTATTTATTTTTTTAATGCATTGGGGCCAGACGAGGTGACTCATGCCTGTAATCCCAGCACGTTGGGAGGCCGAGGCAGGTGGATCATGATGAGGTCAAGAGTTCGAGACCAGCTTAGCCAACATGGTGAAACTCGTCTCTACTGAAAATACAAAAATTAGCCAGGTGTGGTGGCATGTACCTGTAATCCCAGCTATTCAGATGCCTGAGACAAAAGAATTGCTTGAACCCGGGAGGCAGAAGTTACAGTGAGTGGAGGCTGTGGTGATCAGACATTGCACCACTGCACTCTAGCCTGGGCAACAGAGCAAGACTCCATCTTGAAAAAAAAAAAAAGCATGGGAAATGTTTGCATAAAAGTATATGAACAAGTATACATTGTTGTGGCTAACTTTTCTTCGCTTGGATTTGGGTGGGAACAACAGAGGTGGATAATTCAGAATTCATTTGCATTTAGCTTTCATTTATTTTTTGTTTGTTTCTTTTGAGACAGTCTGGCTTTGTCACCCAAGCTGGAATGCAGTGGTGCAATCTCAGCTCACTGCAACCTCTGCTTCTGGGGCTCAAGCCATCCTCCCACCTCAGCCTCCCAAGTAGCTGGGACTGCAGTGCGTACCACCGTGCCCAGCTAATTTTTTTGTACTTTTTGTAGAGACGGGGCTTCACTATGTTGCCGGGCTGGTCTCAAATTTCTGAGCTCAAGCGATCTGCCTGCCTTGTCCTCCCAAAGTGCTGGGATTCCAGGCATAAGCCACCGCACCCAGCCTGCATTTAGCTTTGGAATGTGCTAGATCTGAATGCAGGCATGAGTGAGATGCTTGGAATTGTCATTCTCCGGGAAAGTGCAGCCTAGGAGTTGCAGTTCAGCTGCTCCAAGCTGTCTCCCCATGGCCCTTGCCTCTCCTTGGAGCTGGCTGGCTGCCGCTGCTGCTGTGGCGTTCAGGGAAGAGCAAGTCAAATGTTTCAACCTTTGGGTGGTCCTTCCAGCTCCTGACAGACAATGGACCATGAATAAGTGGAGATGGCAATGAGGCTCAGGAGAACTTGATTAGCCGGGCACGGCCAATATGGTGAAACCCCATCTTTAAAAAAAAAAAAAAAAAAGAGTACTTGATTAGCTGAGAGAATGAGTGAGGAGTGCAGGTGGTGAGCCCAGCCATCTTTTTTGTGCCGCATCTCATGAGCCCTAGCTCTGGCTTTTTGTGTTTTGTTTTCATTTTTGTTTTTTGAGATGGAATTTTGCTCCGTCACCCAGGCTGGAGGGCAGTGGCACCATCTCAGCTCACTGCAACCTCCGCCTCCCAGGTTGAAGCAATTCTCCTGCCTCAGTCTCCCAAGTAGCTGGGATTATAGGCACATGCCACCACGCCCGGCTATGTTTTGTATTTTTAGTAGAGATGGGGTTTCACCATGTTAGCCAGGCTGATCTCAAACGCCTGGCCTCAAGTGATCTGCCTGCCATGGCCTCCCATGAGCTACCGTGCCCAGCCTGCTCTGGTTTTATATGCATCGTTCGCTGATATTATTACCACGAGATGCTGAGCTCTTCCTTAAAACAAGGAACCATGAGCTACTCATCTTTCAATTCTCTCTGTTCTAGCCCAGTGCCTGGTGAATAGCAGGCACTCAGCAATAAAAGAACACTTGCTTTTTGAAAAACAGCAGGCGGCCAAGTGGGGTGTGGCTCATGCCTATAAACCCAGCACTTTAGGAGGCTAAGGTGGGAAGAGTGCTTGAATCCAGGAGTTAAATACAGGTAGCTCTGCTCCAAAACACTAAGTAATTCACCTTAGAGATTCCCAGAGCATGCAGCTGGAAGTTTCACTGTTTAATGAACTGTTTCCCTATGTCATCACTGCTGTTTTTCTTTTCTCTCTCTTTTTTTTTGAGATGGGGTGTTGCTCTGTCGCCCAGGCTAGAGTACTGTGGTATGGCACAATCAGAGCTCACTGCAGCCTTGACCTCTCAGGCTTAAGTGAACCTCTCTTGCCTCAGCCTCCTTAGTAGCTGGGACCATGGGTGTACGCCACCACATCCGGCTAAGTTTTAAATTTTTTTGTAGAGATAGGGTCTTGCTATGCTACTAGGCTGGTCTCGAATTCCTGAGCTCAAGTGATCCTTCCACCTCAGCCTCCCAAAGTACTGGGATTATAAGCATGAGTCACCATGCCCAGCCTCCTGTGTTTTAAGAAGCACCCCTGATGTGCACTGTCTAACAGGGTACTCACTAGCCCCATGTGATCATTGAACTTGATTACAGTTAAATAACATTTAAAAGTCAGGTCCTCGGCTGCACTAGGCATATTTCAGGCATATTTCAGGTAGCCACATATGGCTAACATATTAGAAAGTTTATGTGACCATTTTCATAATTACAGGATTCTATTGGATAGCACTATTGTGGGTGATTCTGATGCGTGCTAAAATTTGGCAACCACTGAGCTTGAACATACAGTTTTCAACCCTGGATCCAGATTAGAATCTACCTGGTGGCTTTTTTTTTTTTCCTTTTTTTTCTGAAACACAGCCTCGTTCTGTTGCCCAGGCTGGAGTGCCGCGGTGCAATCTCAGCTCACTGCAACCTCCGCCTCCTGGCTTCCAGCAATTCAAGCCTCATCCTCCTGAGTAGCTGTGACTAGAGGTGCCTGCCACCACACCCAGCCAATTTTTGTATTTTTAGTAGAGACGTGGTTTTGCCATGTTGGCCAGGCTGGCCTGGAACTCTTGACCTCGAACAGTCTGCCCACCTCAGCCTCCCAAAGTGCTGGGATTACAGGCATGAGCCACAGCGCCTGGCCTCACGGGGGACGGCAGGGGGAGGCTTTTGAAACACAGGGATATCCCAACATGCCACAGACCAACTGAAACGGGCGCGGAGGCCGGGCGCGGTGGCTCACACCTGTAATCCCAGCACTTTGGGAGGTCGAGGCTGGTGGATCATAAGGTCAAGAGATAGAGACCATCCTGGTCAACAAGGTGAAACCCATCTCTACTAAAAATACAAAAATTAGCTGGCTGTGGTGGCGCGTGCCTGTAGTCCCAAGCTACTGAGGAGGCTGAGGCAGGAGAATTACCTGAACCCAGGAGGCGGAGGTTGCGGTGAGCTGAGATCGCACCACTGCACTCCAGCCTGGGTGACAAGAGCGAAACTCCGTCTCAAAAAAAAAAAAAAAGAAACGGGGGGCTGGGGGCGGTTCTGGGTGTTGCAGGAAGACATTAGTTTTTCAGTCTCCTCAATCTCAAAGCCAAAGTCCAAAACCTCCGCACGATCCCATGCACTTTTCACAGCATTGTTATTGAAGTCTTATGAGACCCTTACACTTACAGCTGCGTGTGCGCTACAGAAGAGCTTCTGGGGACACAGAGGGGCTGAGTACCTTGTCCACGGTGACACCGCTTTAGATGTTCCTGGGGACCGAAGGGCATTCCTGGAAGGCTTTGGGAATCGAGGGCAGGCAGGGAGAGGGAACAGCCTGTGGTTCCTGCCAGTTGGAGCCTGAGGAAGCCAGTAGACTTGGGGATGGCTGCCTTGCAGTGACAGCTGCTTTTAATTTGTGTCAAGAAGAAAAGCTGCCTTTTAATTAGAACAGTTTGGGATTTTTTTTTTTCAGCCGCCAGACTAACCCAGTTACCAGGGATTAGTGCAGTCAGGGGAAATGGAACACACACAGCCCTGGGCTTCCCTCTGGGCCAGCTCTGCTCACAGAGGGACCGCAGGGAGGGTCATTTCATTGCCCGCCACGTGCAGAGTCTGCAGAGGCAATGAGTGGCCAGTGCAAGAAGGAAAGTCAGCCCTGGCCAGTGGTGTGCGCCAAGTGACTGCAGCCAGGCGGCCAGTTGCTTGGTCTAGGATGGGGGGTAGGGGGTTGGTGTGGAGGGAGTCCTAGAGTGAGAAATTGAGGGAGCAACTTCATCTCTGAAACTCAAGAGGGTAAAGGCAGCACTTCTACCTTTGTTGATAGGTGCCCTGAGTTTTAGCCTTGGATCCTGACATGCCTTCCTTCTCCCAAGCCCTTTTTTTTTTTTTGGCAGGGTTGGGCAGTTTCTTTTGAGATTGAGTCTCACTCTGTCGCCCAGGCTGGAGTGCAGTAGCACCATCTCAGCTCACTGCAACCTCCGCCTCCCGGGTTCAAGCGACTCTCCCACCTCAGCCTCCCAAGTAGCTGGGTTTATAGGGACCCACCACCACAGCCAGCTAATTTTTGTATTTTAGTAGAGATGGGGTTTCACGATGTTGGCTAGGCTGGTCTCAAACTCCTGACCTCAGGTGATCCACCTTCCTCAGACTCCCAAAGTGCTGGGATTACAGGCATGAGCTACTATGCCTGGTTTGTTTTGTTTTATTTATGTATTTATTTATTTATGAAACAGAGTCTCACTCTGTCGCCCAGGCTGGACTGCAGTGGTGCAATCTTGGCTCACTGCAGCCTCCACCTCCTGGGTTCAAGAGTTTCTCCTGCCTCAGCCTCCCAAGTAGCTGGGATTACAGGCATGAGCTACTATGCCTGGTTTGTTTTGTTTTATTTATGTATTTATTTATTTATGAAACAGAGTCTCACTCTGTCGCCCAGGCTGGACTGCAGTGGTGCAATCTTGGCTCACTGCAGCCTCCACCTCCTGGGTTCAAGAGTTTCTCCTGCCTCAGCCTCCCAAGTAGCTGGGATTACAGGCATGAGCCACCACACCTGGCTAATTTTTGGATTTTTAGTAGAGATGAGGTTTCGCCATGTTGCTCAGGCTGGTCTCAAACTCTTGGGCTCAGGCAGTTCTCTCACCCCCAGCCTCCCAAAGTGCTGGGATTACAGGTATGAGCCACTGCACCTGGCTGAGACCCAGTCTCTTAAAAAAGAAAAAAAGGAAGATGAGGCTCCTCCTCCATGTCCTCCATGGTAGGAGCTCTCCCAGGTTATAAGCAAATTTCTTTCCAGGCTAGCATGGGGCTCTGCGTTTAGTTCACCCATTCATGATGCACTGAATATTTTGGCTCTCAGGAACAGAGTCGCCTGGCCTAACCATCATTGGCCCCATGAGCTCTTGGGCTCTCTGACAAGTCTGTTAACTTACCACCTCTCAACAAAACCACTTCTTTTTTTTTTTTTTTTTTTTTTTT